TTCCTTACCCGGGATTCCCGTTCCGCGGTGAGACGACGAACGAGAATAGAGGCCAATGCTTTTCTCACAGTTGGCGTTAGGACAATACCCCTGTGGATATCAAAGTATGTTGCCACTTATATTGCCACTATGATCGTTTCACTCCAGTTAGCCGGGACGGTCTCTTTCTTCCATACGTGTTCAAAGAGGGATGTCTGTTTTACAGAGGATCTTAGCTCCATCCTTAAATAGTACAGGTGGTAGGGAATCCGGGCCAGCGGCCAGAAAACAATTGAAGGCTGTGATCGCGTTCCTGACATCACTCCGACTGAGGCTCTGAACTAAGCGTCCATGACTCATCCTGCATCACCTGAGTCGAAAGAGTTCCGTAAGCAGCGGGCCAGCTGAACTAATCTTGAAACTATTCCGCCCAACGAGCTATACGATACTCCTTATTATGAATCAGAAGGCCCGTGCTGTCTCTGCTTGTTTCACTGACGCCTGGTTTCCTGGGACTTGTGGTGCGGATGAGGTGGCAAAGTGTGCGATAATTCCCTACTGCTCCCGTCACCTTCACATCTTGAGCCCGACTGGTCCACTAGGCTTCCTTGTCAGCGCGCAGACTCCGCTTTACTTCACGTCTACTACTCAGTCTGGTCACCTTGTGCTCAGAGCCAGTCGGAAGCTTTCTTCTGGATTCCAACAGGTTCCCCGATTTCTCGTATCTCCAGTGGCTTGTGCGGTGAAGATTGATAGTACCACAAGTAGATGCTCCTGCGTCGTGCATGGCGACCGAGATCCTATTCCACTAAAACGGTGTCATTGGGACAAAGGGACGAAAGTTCCGTACACAGGGCATCCTGGTAGGCTTGTCTGACCGAGGGATGGGTCAATTTCTCAGTTGCCAATCAGGGGACTCTTGATTCGCCTCCCGGTAAAATTCATGAAAAAGCGACAGCGTACTATGGCATGATCAGAGTCGACGCAAGTAGTCCAGACTGAGCAGCAACTCAAGATGGAATTACACCACTTGTAACTTGTGGTAATGTGGTCTATTTGGGTCCATCGCTGACCAGCTACAGGAGGACGCCAAGTGGCACTTCGGCGCCCAGTATTTCTGAACGCAGTGCCACTAAGGAATAGCTGGTGCTCCGCACCCAGTTGTAAACTACGCCCGCTGTTGTCCGTACGTTCGAAGTTAAGCCCATATTTACCACCTACCTGAGCTTCTGAAGAGCCCAGACGACCCACTTGTACATTCATATTCCCTGCAAGTATTAGGATATCTGAACTAGTAATGCTGGTAGTAGCGTGTTCAGTTGGTAGTAGAATATGTCCTTAACAACATCAGAATTGCAGTCTATGGGAGTATAAGCGGAAACCGCAAACAAACAGACTTTCGTACCACTTCGTAAACAAACCTTGCTCGATGTCGCCAAACGGGCTGCACACGAACGGCTGTTCACTGAGATCCAATCAACCAACAATTACTCGGCCTTGGAGCTGGGTACGATGCCTACTCCAACTGGACCAGAGGATGCCCCATCAGTGTCTTCGGATGCATACAATCAATAGCGAGAGCACAAGCCGAGTGCAGTTACTTCAACAACTTCATGAGGGTCATTGCTACTAGTTTCGGATGCGCAAAACAAGTCAATGCCCAGCTTTTCTAACGTGCGTGCGAGTGCATCCTGTTGACCTTTTTGTTCTAAAATTCGGACATCGAACGTCGCCAGGGAAACGGGACCGCGTGATCTTTTAAGGGACTGTTGCCGACAGGCGTCCAGTATGTGGTACGGGAAGATAACTCTAGATGGTCCGACTCCTGTGGCATTACGACTGCTGTCGATCAATATGGGAAATATAAGAGGAAGTTTAGTAATGGAGGTTGGGTGGGAAGTAAGAGAGACCAGTGGAAAAGAAAGAAGGCATGCGCTAGCGGTAGCATATTTTCGCTTACCCGCCCTGTTGTATGCAGTAGATAATTCGACCCTTGATAATCTTCGCGACGGCCGATACAGGATGTAGTAAACGTTTGAATAAATCGTCATGGTTATATGCGTGCTGAGATCCAGGGCGCTCAGACGTTGACGGAAGGACGATTAGGGTCCCCAACCAAGGCCTTTGGCTCAAAAGCATATCCACAAGGCAGCGGATGTGGCAACGCTTTGGTTTTACAGAATTGGACGCCATCCCATTTTAAACCCTCAATCTGGAGGACCAGGAGGTTTTGTCTGACTTCTAACCATTCACGAAACTGGTAGGAGTAGCTCTCAAGGGGTTCGGGGGCACCACCCAGTATAGCTCAGTGGGTCAGAGGTGCGTAAACCGTGGCACCACGTTAAGGTCCAGCCTCGCTGCGACAGAATCCGTAACCAAGTAACACGTTCAGGCATGCCAGCCTTTGAATCGAGAATCCAGAGAAATGGATGAACTGACGTCCGTTTGATTGAACAGGGACTTGTGGACTAGACCGGAGCGACGCCCTACGATCGCGTATGGGTAAAAACTAGAAGACGAACGACTATTGAATCAAGATGAGTAGGGCCAAGAATTAGGGGATTGAAAACAAGGGGGATAAAAGTGCACTTAGGACAGGACTATGAGGATCTAAAATTGCGTGAAGTGGAATAAGAAGCCGGGTCGGTCTGAGCCGTAGCATCCTCACTCATATCCACCCCGCTCCATGTAGCAAATGGCGTCGGTGATTATCCCCTGCAACGGCTGGAGCATCAGGAAATTTTATGAAAAGAGTGACAAGCCACCTCGGTGGCCGATAGCGGTGGTGGGGATCTTTCACCAAGAAGTGGAATTTTGTGATACAGCTCATGACAATTTTGTCCTGGAGGTATATATGAACGAGGCTACATGTGGTTTAATGTTTACGTACTGGAGGTCTTTATGCTGCGCAATACGAAAACAATGACTGCTGATGAAACTTCCTGGGTGCATACTGACCATCGATATTTTACCATTTGCTTCGAAACTATTCCATTTGGACTGTTTACGGACCAAGGCGGCAATGTAGCTCTCAGAGCTTCTAGTATCAGCTAGCACTTCCAGAGGGATTTTGAACACATCCACGACGGCATGGGAGAGATCGTTTGGTGCGTTTGCAGTTACAACAGAGGATAACTACCCGTGGATTGCGGTAGTGGTGTTTTTGGACTGGAGGTGGTAAGTCTTCTGATAGAAATGTTTCTAATCGCAACTGTTAAAAGCTGCATTACATGGAGTGCACGGAGACCCATTATCACTCTTGGACCAGCGGAAAAGCAGTTGTTTTGTGGACTAGGAACAGTGACATTTCTACTTGGGAGTTATAAGGTTTCAGTGCTCGCTCCCTGCACTTCCCTCCACGACCGGTTTCGTTGCTGTTTGAACTCTTCAAGTATAGACTGCCAAACGTCCACTTGAATCCGGGTCGCTGTATCTGTCGGCCGAAACCTTAGCCTATAAGCCACTGACTCTTGGAGTGCGGTGTTGCGAGCAGGTAGGATCTAACGTTTAGTTATCTTTGTTTAACCCACTAATCTGCTAGGTAAATGTTTCTCTGCTCACTGGAGTCCATTCTATGTCCTCCTTTCATGTGTTTGATCAGTCTGGTGAGACCTGAGAGTCACTTTGGATTTACGCTAGCCATTGCGCCATGCCAAGCCCCGATCTCGTCACGCTAGTTTTGCTCTACATCAGTCAGTTGGCTCCTCTTTTCTGTGATCACACTTCTGGATTTGGATTTAATGTCCCGGTTGTTTTTGTACACCGTTAATCCTATTTTGCTTGTCCTCTTTTACCCGCGGCTTCATTCGTATCTACTTATGGAGACTTGGTGATTTGCACAAACAGCACATACTTAGTAAAAAGTCAAGATTGCTTTAAGACTGGTCTGGGTAGAACAGGATTTCACTGTTCACCGGCTACTTATGCTTCACTATTTTACTGGATGAATACTAACAAACTTTCGATTCCTTGGTGAAATTTCGTAAGGCAGCGCTCTCATGCAATGCTGGAACTCTCGGGATCGAGTGAGGGATGCGAAATTCAATCCCCGAAACAACAACATTCTACTCCATTGTTCCCCTTTGAACTTGCAGTAGGAAGCATCATAATGGACACTTTAGGTGGCTTCGGGGTTCTTATCCAGCCACTCTTTTGCGGTACTTCGATAAATGTGAAGTTGACTTACCCACGGTCATATGTGGATTTTCACAATCTACTTCATGCACTAAACATATTACTGACAGTTGTCTACCAGTCTCTCATGGGAGCCATTTCGAAGTTTCGACTCCTCTGGAACTCTTATTGATAGCGGTCGACCAATTTGCTTATCAGTCGTGTTGTTTTACTAATAGTGATATTTTCATCTTATCTTCCTGTGGATCTTCGTTTCTAGTGAACTACTATTCGAACAATGCTCCTCTTACTTTGGTGTTTAAGTTGGTCGCTAGCTGGCTTCCAGAAGTTGGTTGTTTTTGTAACCACCATCCTCCATGAAGTGTTGTGTTAATACTTGGATCTCTACTTAGCTTACTTATCATGCTGACTGTGAACTCTATTCAGTCTGATCCGACGGTCTCTGCATAAACCGTATAAGCATCTTCATCGGATCTTTTCTCTAGCTTTGTTTATTCCTAACCTTGTCACCTGAAACCAACGGGAGTATTTTTCACTTCGATTTCGACTTTAAGTATTGTGGCCTCGAAATTGGGTATATTAATACTCAAAGTTCTAGACTAAGAAAGCGCGCAAATCTGGGTAGCTTTTAATTCCTCGAACCGAAGATGAATTTGCTGCGATTTACCTTTGATTTTTCTGCCCCCTTATTTTCAAAGAGGGCTATTTTCTTGTTCCGGCTGACTTTTTCTACACCTTTGCACTCGCATAATGAGTGAGTAATCTAGTATCGTCTTGTAGCCGTTGACTGCCTTGATATACAGCATCCGACGGCTAACAGAATTGAATCGATATCCCACTACATCTTTTTGTCTCTGATTTCTTTCAGCTGCTAGAGACATTTGTTAATGAATCCTTCTATTGGGAATATTGCGAATGTGTTCAGGGATGTCTGCGCGATGAATCCCGACAATTCTGAAGCCATCGCTGCTATCGATGTCCTAACCCGAGTTTTACGCACTTCCGACGTTTCCACTGTTCAAGGATTGCATGGTGTTTTAAATGACGCCATCGCAGAAATGACCGACACGGGTCGACATCACTTGTGCGTCAAATCTGCATGCGAATTATTTCAGCGCTTCATCACTCTGACGATTTCCGAGGCTCCAGATGACTTTATCCGATGCAAACAAGTGCTTCAGGAAAGGGCTGACCTCTTCCTCAAAAAAGTAAATTTCTGCAGGAGATTGGAATCGTCCTATTTCTCCTCTCTAAACTCTTACTTTCAGTTTTCACTTCATACTGCCCATTAGCCCAATGGAATTTACCTGAACCATTTCACCTTCATATACTCACCTCCGTAATTTATCTCGAAGACTCTTCTAATCAATCATCGATCATTCTTTGAATAAGAGTATATCTCAAGACTTCGATCTCCAAAGGTTCATTACTGGTTTGCCTAAACGCTGCTGCTGCCATCGCAACGTGTTTGGACCTTATCGCGGTGCTCTGGTTTACCTTCCTCCGTGACCCATTGAGCTACGCTGGGTGGCAACTTCCAGGTGCCTACAGAGCCACTCATACCAGACTGGTCAACGTTAGGGGTCAGACTAACTCAGTTCCACAATGCAATCCACTTCGGAGGTTAGGGTGAGGTCGATAATCCTCTTCCTTTAAAATTTAGTCATAGAAGACAACGGGTCTACGGGTTATAAGCTCATAACCCGATTGACGTAGAGCACGAACGCCACACATTGTCTCTGACGGTGGGTGGGCACTTTCAGGTGCTCACTGGTTTGCTACCGCCCTCCTCATTAGCCAGGCAGCCCCTGATCAAATTGCTGCAAATCCACCAACTCCCGCTTGCGTCTGGGCGTGGTCATAGGTACGTAACATGGCTTGGCAGCATCCCTGTCCGGATTTACCTGTGGACTCCACGGGGACAGCCGCAGGACGATTGCACCTACAGAGGGACCATAGAGAGCTTGCGCTGTACCACCCACAGTTCCATCTACACACCTCATATCCATTGTAAACCCGAAGGGATGAGACCGGGAGGCATGCGGATGGAGCCACCTTTCATCAACGAAGCCAGTCCACACTCCTTCAACAGTAGAATAGAAGCATTTCTGCCTAATTGGGAACTTATGCGTACCAGACGCATACAAGGCGGTGGTTGAACCGTGGCCCGCTCTACACTGGATGGAACCACTCTTTGATATTAGCACGGCCACGAGAACCATGCATCCCGTCCCCTCCAGCAATAATCAGTTGCTTCCTAGAGCCAATATAGACGAGGTGATGGGTCATAGACAGGTAGGCACCTTGTCAACATCCACATCGAGCGCAGCCACTCAAACAACCAACCCAGAATTTGGAGGAGAATAAACACGCAATATTTGATACAGAATATGCATCAGAACAGCAGTAATGAGCAATTCAAGTACAGTGGATTACTTATTATCCAGATTAGGAAAGTCTAGTTTAAGCGTTAGTCTTGGCATGTCACCGTACTGGAATTAACTTGGGAAGGTAAGAATGGTGACCTAGGTCACAGAGAGAACAAAAGAATAGTGGGCAATGCGCGGAGTAGTCATGAAACACAACCGAGCTATATAAGCCTGATACGAGGTAGGTTGGATGTAGCTCCTACGACTTAGACAGGTTTAATACAGATAATGCATGGCACTAAGTCAGTAGTTAATCACTCAACAGTGAAACTGTACCCAATCGAATTGCATAATCGCTACAATACCAATGACATACAGTAGATGACAGTGATCATCATTATACACGTTTGCTGCAGGTGGAAAACATAACAGCTGTTGTGCCGCAATGCAAACGAAAAGAAAAAACATGCAACAGTGGCACGCCGGCTGAGTCACCAGTAACGGTTGAACATCGATCCGGAGAGCTGACAGCCTGCTACCGTGCCACAACAAAGTGCTATATTATGCTTAATAGATGAGATCGTGGTTGGAGGAGGAGAGATGACAGCTAGAGCAAACAACTTTTTAAAGTTATCATCTAAGTGGTGCCATCAAATTAACTGCTACAACCACTGATTTTCATAAATTGAAGTCAGCAAATGCAGTACGGGAAATACTGCGACGTTCACCCTTATAGCTAGCATCTTGTGGTGGATCAGAGGTAGATAGTACTGCGCCGGGTATAAGTAATGTGGTGGTGCAAGATGACACACCAACAGCGAGCCCTGCCGACTTCCTCAAAGTTGAAGATGACATCAGGATTACAGTTCCATGCGCACGAGGAGTGAACACAAAGGCAAGCACCAGTTGGGGAACACTCCATGGAGATCACGCAGATGAGCGGACTCCTCCAAGGTATGAACGAACACACCTAGTGTAAGCCACTTTAGCAATAAACAATTACCGCCTGCCCCTTGGGTTCTAACAATCTGATCCCGAACATAAAACACGAAACATCCACATCATCATGTTAATAACTAGTCAGTTGCTTACCGGGACTGCTCACTTTCCACGGATGTTCCGGAGCGATTTCTCTTGTGATGCATGGTCCAGAGTGGTCATCCAAAGCGATGGAGTGGTTCGTAACATAATACGGCGGATAACACGTGCACTGTTCTCAATCTTCAAAGACTGTGTGACAGACCTCAAGCAGATCCCAATGGGTCTCTGCAATCACACTCCCAAACTGCACTTGCTCCTTTGTGGGTCAGGCTCTTTAGCCAAATTCTCCGCATGGAGTTCCTCAAGCGAACCTCCATGTGTCCCACTGCCTTTTGGGTCAGACTTTAAGTCAAAGGCTGGAGGTAGAGCAGCCGGAACAAAATCTCTTCTTTGGAATGGGCAACCTGAGAGTAACAACTGCCCTCTCGACCACGTCAACAATACTTCCACTTATTTTCTCTTTTCTCCCTTCTTATTCCTCGTCTATTGAGCAAGAGATTACCGCTGGTCTCGCAGCTGCTACCATCGATACACGTGGCTCTTCCATCAAACCTAGAGTTTCATTTGTCATTGGTTCTTTTAACACCCGCACTCTATGTCAGATCGGCCAGCAAGCAGCGCTAACTTTCTTAACTCTCTTGGTAGTGATGCGTGCTGTGTTTTCTAGACACGCATACAAGATAACAGCGTTGCGACAAATTTTCGTCTCCATGGTTTTGAATCTGATGACGATGACTACACTCTACGAGTTCTTGGCGATACTGAGTCAGCGGCTCAGGTATTTAGGGTGTTGACATTGCTCTCAACAAACATGCTTAAGGCATTCTGCTCGACTGGATACCGGTGAACAGCCGCATATGTGCGGTTCGATTTCGAGCCTCTGTGGAATTAATAATCAGTGTCTGAAGCCAATGTGCTATTTCATCGCCTCAGTTTACGCCCCTACTGAATGCGGTTTAGGGTATCAAAGACGATTTCTATCAACAGCTCTTATTCGCATGGCGAAGAATACCGACATCGTGATTGTTGCTGTTGACATGAATGCCCAAGTGGGTCATCATACAGACTATGAACAACGCCTATGCAGCCATTTCGAAGTCGATGCACGCCGAACAAACAATGCTAGTTGCTTGCTGCAACTGTGCGCCGGCCACAGCTTTTACGTTAGCAGTACTGCTTTCCAGCCCGAACGTTCACACTGCGTCATTTGGTTTCCTCCGAATTCCTTAGCTACCTAGACCAACATTGATCCTATTGCTATCAGCTGCCGATGACAAACCTCAGTCCAAGACTGCCAGTCAATATGGAGCATGTGCTTGGGTTCCGACCATACTCTAAAGCACGAACATTCTTCCCGCTTCAAATAAGTGTCTATTTTCTAACTTTCCTACCTGTAACTTGTACTCGCAGTCTGCCGTTCAACAATATTATAACGAACTGGTCCACCAATTGTCAGTGATGAAGGTTGGTGAGCCGAACGCTGACTGGGATTGTCTCACGTGTGACATGAATGCCTTTGACGCTTGTTATGCACCCAACTTGAGACCTCGTAACCGTGAACGTATATATGACGTATCGAGCAGTTTGATTGAAGCATGGAAACAGGTTCCAATAAGCACCGAGTGTCAGGTTGTCCGTAACTCCTTGAAACGACGGTTGACAAGGGGTCTTCGAATCGACCGGGATCGTTGGTGCTTGGTCTGGGCCCGTGAGATGAAGGAATCCAGTGCTATTGGGAACAGCTGAGTGATATTCCAGCTCATCCGGTGCACGGGTTTGAGGAAGCCAGCATTTAGGGAAACAATAGCTGAGAAACTTGAGCAGTTAATCCATTCTTACCATCGTCAACTAGGCCGTTGGGTGGAACATTTCGAGGAGCAGTTCAACAGACCTGCTGCGACACTGTCGCTTACCGAATCACCTGAGCCGACGTGGGAAGTTGGCGTCACACCTCACATTTTGGAAGAGATATAAAGTAAGTCTTCCGTGTTGAAACGAAACACGGCTTTTGAACCGGACGACCTTCATCCGCTTTTGCTAAAAGATTACGGTGACTCTTTGTGGACTGGACTCGCTTCTCTGTTTAACACGATTTTTGACACTGAAAAAGTACCTTTAGATCAGCGACTGTCAACTATCGTGCCCATCTTCAGAAGCGGTCCTCGTATTTTGTGCGAAAATCATTGGAATATTAGCGTTGTTTTCGCTGCCTCCAAGCTTCTCACGGGTTCATTCTACGGCGACTTGCCTTGGTGAGAGCCAAATCACTGAAGGACAGACTAGCTTCCGCACTGGTCGTGGTTGAGTCGACCGCAAATGTACCTTTCGTCAATTTTTAGTGCACAGACACATACAGACGACGGACTGTGTTGGCTTTCCTTGTGTTGAAAGCCGCCTTCGGCTCTGTTGACCATGCCATCTTGTGGCACTGCCTATCCATGAAGAGCGTGTCAGCTAAACTTCTTTCCATTATGCATTCTCTCTACCGTATAAGAATCTACGAAAAACTGTCCTGAGTTCCCCACGACAAGTGTGGTTCACCAGGGTTGTCCTATATCTCCTTTCCTCTTCAACTTTCTGATCGAAATGAATATGAACCAATCGATTCTTCCATACTCTACCGGAGTGGAGGTGATCGACTGACAAACCTTGAGCATGCGGACGACATAGCTCTTCTTGGGTTGGACGCAGTTGCTACGCGAGCACTACTGAATAGACTGATGCATAGCGCTGTACGCTTCGGCATGTGATCTGCACCTTCAGAGTTCAAACTACTGTTGCAGCACTGGACCGACACA